GATCACTTCGTCGCATAACACTTCGTCGTACGACATTTTGTCGCAGAACATTTTTTTTTCGTTCTGTTTGTCGCAGAACAATTTCTTTCGTTCTGTTCATTGCACTCCTCTTAATTATTTTTTTTTAAAAACATCAAATTAACCAATTTAACTCATCTTCATTTTATGTATCATGCATAACAGAACCATGAACAAAGTGAAACGAAAAAGCAAGAAAAAAGAAGAAAACTAATCTAAAGGGAAAAATAATCTAAAGAACTAATTTGGAGAGCATTGGATAAGCACCAAGGTCAAAGTCAACTCGTCGTATTCCAAGAATTCCAATAGAATTCAATACTAAGGACTCCTATAAGATCTGATGCTATCCGATAGTCAGATCCATCGCGTCCTGACAATGTTATCGTTGATCTAGTCAATGATAAAATTCATTAACATAATGACAAATATAATTATTTTTTGCTGACTTTAACTGCCTCAGAATTACATTTGGTTAAGACCTTTCATCGATCTATTTTCCGAATTCAAGTCATACGTTTTAGAGCAATCAATTGTCTGTCCTTGTTGTACCCATATTTTAGAGTTTTTCATTTACTTTATTTTATTTTGACTAGTTATCAAAAAAAACAGGACCACTTAACAGAAATACAAGAAGCAGAACGAAAGAAAAAATTATTCTGCAACGAACAGAACGAAAGAAATTATTCTGCGACAAACAGAACGAAAAAAAAGTGTTCTGCGACAAAATGTCGTACGACGAAGTGTTATGCGACGAAATGAACTAGCGCCCCCATACTCACCTATACCCACACCCACACCCATCTATACCCACACCCACGCACATACACACACACCCCATACCTACATCCACATCCACCCGCACTTACACCCCACACCCAATACAGCGTAGTCGTGAATGATAGAACAGGAGGGCATTAATAGTCACACTCTGCCTTATCGATCAATCATTGTTTAATTTGAAGAAATGCTTTTAGTGTGTTCATTATTCGCATATGTATGAATGATTAGAACATGGGTGTAAGAGCACACATACAAAAAAACTCACAAATTATACCCACATCCTGGAAAAAGAGACCCTTTATGCAGTACGCTTCTCTATCAAAACATGTAGAGACAGGTATGCTTTTTATAGAAGAATGAGACGCTTTCAGACACGTTGTGGATGACATGCACAGCAGCCGATTTGTGTAGCGGGGGAAAGTTTAAATTCTGACACAGGTGTTGGCAAAGAAGAAAAAATTATTGGAGTATTGATGAAGCCTCGTGTGTTTAAAAATACTGAAACGAGTTTCGTTCGATCAATAACAACAGAAAAAAAGAATTTGTCACTTTTATGACTGAAAAATAAATGATTTTTTTGTGCTTCTTTTTTGACGACAAAACTGTACATGCAAAATAAAAGCTATTATCCGATCCAAAATAAAAGGTAGGTTGCCATTTTTCGAGTAATTTTTGATAGGAATGAGATAGAGAGCTGCAGTTTTCACCATTCGAAAGAGCAGGGCCTGGGCACCAATTCGATATAAAAACTAAAGGGATAGCATCAGATTAAGGTACGGTTAATCAGCTAGACTTTTCTCCAACGTCGTCATTCTTATAAATTCCAATATATGTTTCTTGTTCAGAAGTGGATTCGGTAGCCCGAATTATACTGTATAAAACTATGCAAGCTGCAGGCCTCTATCATTTATTGTTTGAATAGGGTATCAATTTTACTGAAAAGAATAGCATCACATTTTTATATGTTCTGATTCCTTCTGGGAACGTGAAAAATGTACAGAAAAGTAGGTTACAGAATAACAAGTTTTATACCAAATAAAAGCCCGTGAAAAATGAGATTTAGCAGTATTAAATGGTAAGGATTCTACAATGCTGTTTATATTAAACATAATAAATTTCTAGAAATGTCCGTTATTTTAGTATGAAAAAAAATTTCTTTCATGAGGCAGTTCAAAATAAATCTGATTCAAAATTGTGGTTTTCTAGAGGATAATACTGCAGACATTTCTAGAAATTCGTTATGTTTGATATAAAAAGTTTTGTCAAGCCCTTATCATTTAATAAATGGTAAACTCCATTTTTGACGTGCTTTCATTTAGTATAAAATTTATTATTGATTCTATTTAAAATCACAGCATTATCCCTCTGGTAAAATATTTTGACACACACAATATATATATTTTCATTAGCCTGAAAACCTATTTATCCACAAAATTTTCAGCTATATTACAATTTCTTATTTCGAGTTGAAGACTCATATTATTGGTTAAATCAGAAACACTCTTGTCGAGATGAAGTTAACTATCTTGCGATGTTCGATGTAGTCGACAACCTATTTTTCTGTGCATTTCTGACGTTTCCAGAAGAAATCAGAACATATAAAAATGTGATGCTGTTATTTCCAGTAAAATTGATACCCTATTCAAACAATAAATGATAGAGACCTGCGCTTGCATAGTTTTATACAGTATGATCTGGGCTACCGAATCTACTTCTGAACAAGAAACATATGTTGGAATTTATGAGAATGACGAAGTTGGAGAACAGCCTAGCTGATTAACCGTACCTTAATCTGATTCTATCCCTTTAGTTTTTATATCGAATTGGTGCCCAGGCCCTGCTCTTTCGAATGATGAAAACCACAGCATTCTATCTCATTCCTATCAAAAATTATTCAAAAAATGGCAACCTACCTTTTATTTTGGATTGGATAATAGTTAGATAATTAAAGGTCTTTGATTTCTTCATATCACATCGTGTATGCCTATTTCTGCTCATCTTCACTGATTAATTTAGGGTGCCCAATAATAATTTTGCATCCTGCTTTGTAATGATACACGCGCAAAAATCAGAGTACAATTCGCTCTCAGTGATCATTCGTCCACTTTATCATAAATCGATATTTGATTTGTATGACGTACAAGTTTATTCAGGACATTTCACTTATTGTGTTTGGTATATCTTTCCTTTTCCTTCCTGTCATTCTTATGGTATAGAATGACGTCATGATTGTCTTCCTTTTTTTCGTTTTCATGTGTTTCTTTTTAGAACATTTGAGAAGATTTTCCCTCAATTGCTCCCATGTATAGTTATATATATATGCTTCTGTTCTCAAGAGTTCAGTTTTTCTAGAAGTTCAATTGACTTATTTTTACAGTTCCCTGACTGAGTTATCATTTCTTTTCGACTGGCAGATAGTACTGTGATACGATTTGAAATCAAGGAAGTGTGAATACATATATCTTACACGATCATCTTCGTCTTCCCCTATCTGATTCTATTATGGAAGCCTTTTATATTAGAGTCCACTAGTGGGCGGAAATATCTTCGTTGTTTCAACACAACATCTTCCAATATACACTTCATACAAACTCTGCGTCACAAGATGATCTCGTACAGTTTGGGTTGAACAATGATATTATCTTCTTGGTTAACAGTTATCGTGTCTGATACCTACTGGTCAGGAATACTCCACCGACTTAAAGAACGTCTTTTTTCGAGTGATCGCATTTGTCGAAGCGAAAAAAAATTTGCCCTCAAATACCCCTCAACAACACCACGGAACGGATTCAAGCCATGCTTGGAATATCAAAAGGGTTTGTTTTTAATCTCAAACAAGAGATGAAGCGTGTGAAAGATGAGCAAGAAGCTGAGAGGAGAGAGAAAGAAGAAGAAGCAAAAAAGAAGGAAGAAATAACCAAGGTATAACAAGATGCCAGGATGCGACTTCGTCCTCGCTCGGCAACGACGGAGAATCTGATTTATTCTTGATTAGATCAAACATTCGCAGCTGCTTCTTCCTCAGTATCACATAGCAAACGATATTGGGAACCGCCTATTCCTACAACTGAGACCCCAATGAAACATGGACATTCAGGTTGTCCACGCTTGATTCTTAGCTAGCAAGGGCAAAATGCCGTCAGATATCATTTTTACGTGATGCTTACCGAAAAAATCTATCCGACGACAAAGATATTACTTGCTCGATTGCTTGCGGAACACCATGATTTCTCGGTAGGCTCGGTTACTATGTTATGGCGCCAGATAAGATTTTTGTACAAGGCAACTGCAAAAAGTCTGGTGCTTCTCGATGGAGTAAATTTTGTTGCTTAACGCGAGTCTTACTTTCGTCGTCTTGAGGAATTCCGTGCATCCGGTGCTCTTATATATTATCATGACGAGACGTGACTGTGCGCAGGCGAGGAGGAACGTAATATTTGGGTTGATGAGCAAGAGAAAGGTCGGCTGCGCAAACAGAACGGACCAGAGCAGCGCATTGCAATTTCGACGATGATGAAATCAGAAGGTTTCATTGAATCGATTGATGTTTAGCAGTGTGACAAGGATCATGGTAAGAACAGTGAACGATTTCACAAGTGGATAGAGGATGCTGCTTCTTATCTTCGGATTAAACATAATCCTAGTCAATCTATTACCATAATAATAGACAATTCACCGTGGCACAATGTATTGTGTGATGATGCCAAACCACCACAATGTGCTTGGACAAAATATAAACTCCAACAATGGCTCAGTAGCAAAGGTATCTCATGGAATGTTAAAATGTGCAAGGCCTAGTTGCTCGAACTTGTATTTGCACATGTTCCACCAAAGCGGTACGTGACTAATACAATTGTCCAAGCATTCGATGTCGAGATCTTGCAACTTCCGGTAAAGCATTGTACACTCATTCCCACAGAGTTTGCATGAACCCAACTCAAGTCATACGTGTGCAACACAAATGTTAATTTTCGCCTTTCCCATGTTGAAGATAGTGCCCTCGATTTTATTGCTGTCGTTAATGAAGACTTCGCACAAAACTTCATCGAGCATACATACAAAATCGAGAATATTTTCAAAGCAGCCAGTGCCATTGTCGAAAACAATATTGGGCCGCAATTGATTGAAACTGATGTGGAAGAAGATTTAGCAGCGATAGATGACAATGGGTCTGATATATCTGAGTGACAATTTGTATGCGCCATCTTCTATACCATCTACACTTGTGATAACTTCTCTGATGCGTACATATGTAGTTGTGATCAAATAGGCGGAAAAAAATAAACATGAGCGAGTAAAAACTTAATGTTTCTCTTGAATCGATTAATGAAGATGGGCAGAAATAGACATACACGGTGTAATATGAAGAAATTAAAGATCTTCAATCATCTAACTAATAACGTTACAACAATCAGTAGATTCTATCATCTCTATAGATGGGAAGTCTGAGGCATAAAAATAAATTTGAAAATTTAGCATTATTCGATTTCAGGAGATGTTTTCTTGTATCTCAGAGACACATGATGGAACTCTGAAACTTTTAGTGTTTATAGAGCAGATGCTAGGCTACAATTTCGCTAAATTGAAATCAAGAATGTATCTAATAAAAAGAGCCTGTCAGAGTTTTATTAAAAAACATCTGCAAACCTTTCAAAGTTCATTGATTCTCAGCTATAGAAGTACCAGCAGCCATCCTCTGTCTAATGGTGAAAACCGCCATTCAATAGCTATCAGCATTGTAGAGTTATTAAACAAACAATCGAGTCCACTTTATTTTGAAATGGATAACAGTTTTTGGAGGAATTACTCAAAAAAGAACACTTAAATATGAATCATAAAATCTTTTTCTATTGAAATCAATATTTGTTGTAAAAAACATCAATTAAGCAATTCTAAAAAATTGAGTGCACAATACATTTGAAAATAATATTTTATTCGTGTTTTCTTTTTTTTTAATGAAAATTTCTGCATTATAATCTATATAGATGTACTGCATATAGAATATATTTGTCTTATTTACCACATACCCAAGGACACAAAAAGGAAATATGTAAGGTGCACGTAACGCAAAACTCGAACAGAAAATAAAACTCAATAAATTATACATCAGTTGATAGAGCTTTTCACGCTGATTCAGAATATATATCTTTCAAATTTTCAGAGCTCAACTGAGACGAGAAAATCGCAAAATACAAAAATTTGACAAAACCAAAAAAAAACGGCTTTTTCACTATTAATTTCAGGACTGATATTGTAACATCTCTGTAGCATGCAGTGTATGCATGATATTTTCCTCTTCTTACTATTTCTTCTCATTTTATGGATTGTCCTTATATTTTTGTGCTTAGTACGTCGTGTTGTACTTTGTCTCTATCATATGGCAATTATCTTCTGTCCTTATAGTCGTTTCCTTTCCTATTCTTTCCTTCTCTTTTATGGTCGAGTATATAAGTGTATGGTTTGTATGTAAAAGATGCGATTCTTGATAGGAAGAAATACAATAAAGCGTAGTTCCATCAGAACTAGCTCTTCTTCCATCCAAAAATCGTCACAGATATATCTTTGATTAGACTTTTCTCAACAAAAGTATTTTATCTAAATCGAGCATATAAAACTGTGGTATTCAGATGAGTTTGATGAAATTTCATCAATCTTGTGACTTTTGGTTGGCTCACCAAGACGTACCTTGTATACTATCAACAGCCTTATCTTGTAAATATATCTCCTTTTTTTTCTGTAAGAGCCAAAATGATGTTTTTTTTAAGCATTCGAACCATTAGGTCGATAAGAAAAAAGTTACGCATGCTCGTAATTCGAATTTTTAACATTGTTAAGAAAATGCACATTTTCTGCAACCATGGTAAAATATGGCAAAAAGCGCTGGAAAACAGGATCATTTCTTTGAGTTTCATTTGGAACTAATTGTTTTCATACCAAATAAGTATGATATTCGGAATCAGCTCAAAAAATTACGTCGAATAAACTATAATTTGCCAGAAAAGAGTTTCCATCGACATTTCGCCTGTGGCCCACCTCACCTATGTTTTCTCTCAATATGGTTCTGAAAGGGAGTACAGGTGAGATTTCGACGAAACCCATTTTCTGACAAAATATAGCTTATTTGACGTGATTTTTTGCGCTGATTCCAAATATCATATTTGTTTTATATGAGAACAATGCATTCGAAATGAAACTCGAAAAAATGATTCCATTTTCGGGCGTTTTTGCCATATTTTACCATGGTTGCAGAAAATGTGCATTTTCTTAACAATGTTAAAAATTCGAATTACGAGCATGCGTAACTTTTTTCTTATCGACCTAATGGTTCGAATGCTTAAAAAAAACATCATTTTGGCTCTTACAGAAAAAAAGGAGATAGATTTACAAGATAAGGTAGTTGATAGTATACAAGGTACGTCTTGGTAAGCCAACCAAAAGTCACAAGATTGATGAAATTTCATCAAACTCATCTGAATACCACAGTTTTATATGCTCGATTTAGATAAAGTACTTTTGTTGAGAAAAGTCTAATCAAAGATATATCAATCCTGAAATTAAAAGTGAAAAAGCCGTTTTTTTGGGGTTTTGTCAAATTTTTTGTATTTTGCGATTTTCTCGTCTCAGGTGAGGTCTGAAAAATTGAAAGATATTTATTCTGAATCAGCGTGAAAAGCTCTATCAACTGATGTATACTTTATTGAGTTTTGTTTTCTGCTCGAGTTTGGCATTGCGTGCACCTTATATCTAATACTTTTCCATCACAACAAAATGTTTTTGCAATTTATTCGACTTTATTTGATTTTAAAAAGAATTTTTTAAGAGAACGTTTGTGCACAAAAAAAGGGCAAATTGTAATAAAATAATTCAATTTCAATAATTATTTCAACATTTTTATTCTAAAAAATGATTTCAAAAATCTGTTTAAGGTTATGTTTTATGCACACGCTTATAGTTTACATGCAAAATAAATTCAACGCTTATATATATTATTGTAAAACATGTTACTGATCATAAAATATGTATTAATCCTTTTTAATCCGTATGCTAGCAGTCAAGATAATGTATTTTATAGAAAATTGATAAAATAAAGATATTTAAAATTATTATCGTAAAGATTGGAAAAAAAAGAAACTTTACATTAAATTGAGAGAAAAGGTCTAAAAATTTGAAATTTTCATCAAGTCTCAAGTTCCTTTTTGTATACTTCATGATGAGCTATAAAAAAAGTATTTGAAATATGCTATGCATTCTGGTTCCCTATTTTCAATAATGATCCATAAAAAATTTAATCTATTCTAGATCAAGATTTTTTACCACAATTACTATTATTTGAATAACTTATACAAGCGTAATTATAAACTCTATTGATTGTATGTTTATATTTTGATTTAGTACATAGAATATTACCACATATAAAATACGATAAATTCATGAAAATAGCTTGTGTTACTTATGAAAACGATATTTATGCATCATCAATTGAAAATGAAGATATTATACTTGTACAATATCTTCAAGAAAAAGATATTGATATAAAAATTGAAATTTGGACAGATCCTGATGTAAACTGGAAAACCTATGATTTAATTATATTGAAATCAACATGGGATTATCATTATAAGATAGATCAATTTTATACATGGTTAACAATGTTAAGATGTCAAAACATACGTATTTTAAATCCATATGACATAATAAAATGGAATAGTGATAAACATTATTTGCAACATATTGCAGATGCTGGATTAAATATTATACCAACTTTTTGGTTGAAAAAAAATGAAAAACTAGACTTAATTAAGTATTTTAAAGTTTTATCTACTGAAAAATTAGTGATAAAACCATCTATTAGTGCAAGTGCAGTTAATACATTTGTATATAATCAAGACGATATTATTCAAGCAATACCAAAAATTGATCGATTACTTCAAGAACAAGATTTCATCATACAGCCTTTTATGAAAGAAATACAAACAATGGGTGAATGGTCATTTATATTTTTTAATGGAGAATTTAGTCATAGTGTATTAAAAATACCTAAATCAGGTGATTTTAGAGTACAAAGAAGTTTTGGAGGAATAGCACATTTTAAATCTGCACCTAATCACTTAATACAATATGTGAAAGAATATGTTGAAATATTCGCAAAAGATTGTCTTTTTGCTCGAATAGATGGCTTAGACATTGGTGGACAATTTTTTTTGATGGAATTAGAACTTATTGAACCTTATCTTTTTTTATCAAAAGACAAAAATAGTTTTGAGCGATTTTACAAAGCACGGAAGCATATATTACATATAAACTAACTGAAAAACTTAAGCTTTATATATATGAATGGTGATAAGAAACTTGTCAACAATAAAACATATAACTTATCCATACTTTTTTTCATATAGGAAAATCTCTTTTCAGTACAATTCTTATCGAATTAAAAATGTAAAAAACGATAGAACCAGCTACTGTGACTACACATAAAGGCTCTTTCTATATTGACTAAAATCCCTGATAAAAGCAAATCAGCAATGTGTCAAAGTATTATCTTGTCCGGAAAGTTCGTGCAGCTCGTATACTATGAAATCTTAGATTAACAAGTACTACATTTATTCAATGTAATAACGTTCGCTAGCGATTCCATGTTTCTAACGAGCTACGTGTGGCTGTTAGTGAAGGTCATTACATTGATTAAATGTATTACTTGTTAAGCTAAGATATCATAGTATACAAGCTGCACAAACTTTCCAGCCAAGGTAATATATATACATGAGGTGACTAAAGAGAGAAGACAACCAGGACCTAACAACAAGAAAGAAAAGAGAATAACAGCCAGAGAGAATACATGAAGATAAGAAAGAGAATATGTGATAACAAACAAAGGAGAATACATATATGTTAACAATAAAAGAGAATAACGAATAACAATAAAAAAGAATATAGAAGAAGCGTGTGTTCAAGTGTTATGGCGATGATGATATTCTATCACCGTTAACACCCATTCATATCCTAAATCTCTTAGAATCATCCGGCTCGGCCTCCTCTATCAATCATTAATCCCTTATAACCATCTATTTGTAACCCTTGTTATCTCTATATTTCTGGGCTCCTATACCTACCCGAACGGGCTTTGTACACACTACGAACCTGAAAGAGAATTTCGTAGATTTCAATAAATGCGAAAGTTCTTAAAGGTTTCGTGCATTCGTCTAAAATCGTAGGATGGTTTCGAATTCATTGCGATTCAGGACATCTTTTTTTTTTCAGTGCAGGACCAACCTCATATATTTATCTGAAACGTTTTTATCTATTTCGCTGCCGCGACGTTTATATCAGACCTCCAAAAATAGATATGCTAGGCATATCTATTTTTGGAGGGTGTGGGTGTGGGTAGGGTGTGGGTGGGGTGTGGGTGTGGGCGTGGGTGTGGGTGTGGGTGTGGGTGTGGGTGTGGGTGTGGGTGTGGGTGTGGATGTAGATAAAGAGGCAGTAAACACCTACACCCACACTCCACCCCACCCACATCCATCCACAGCCACACCCATATTCACACCCACACCCACACCCATTGGTAAAATGTCCATCACTACAACAGAGGGTTTTTTCTAGTACATGCAACACATGAACTAGACTTCTTTTTTTAAAATTAAAATTGTTAGATTCATGTATTTTCATGAAATTGTATCGAAATTAATTCTAATAGAGCAGTGGAACTGCGAAAGAAGCTTCTTGAGAGTGGTGTAATTGTCAGCGTTGGTGCGACTGCAGGTGTGAGTGCTAGAGCTTGTGTAAATTGTAGTGTGTGATGAGATTCAAAAGGATCCATCCCAACACCCGCACTCGATTTTTATTTTCATTTTTTCTTCTGCCTAAAACCAACTGTTCTAGAAAGAGGTTGAAGTCCACTTTACTTGCACAGAGTACTACAACAAATATATTAACAGTACCAGCGACAGATTATATATTAATATTAATTTATTTTTTACACTGTTATTATTCTTGTTGAAAGATTCTTTTTTCTTCTTTTTAATTAAGAATTTTTCGACTATTTTTCTTATCGATCAATTTTCGTGAACCCGTTGCTAGTTCTGTAGTTTTTATGAAAACATAATATTCACATAAGCATATATAAATGCTCGGATTTTATTCAAAATTGGTATTCGATATGCTTACATTGATAGTTTAATGTAGTTAAAAACTTTTGAGTTTATATTCATCTCTTCAAATATAGGATCACAAGAAGGAAAAACCTTCGACAAGTAACATGCTCTTTTTGCTATTTAAGCTGATGTCTTGAGTTTTCAAATTATAAATGTTCATAGTATATACACCCTAATTGACTTACGTCGTTACTATTAAATGTTAATGGGTATAGATAATTATGATATAAATTCGTGATTGATGATGAATGTGTATCCAAAGTGTTTAATGATTTTGAATTTTTCTGTATTACTTAATTTTTTTTTCTATACTTTCTATTTATTTAATAAGTTCTTAGAACCGAATGATAGATTGTTACAGGTTAGATATGTGTGAATCAGATCAACCAATAAATTTGTCACTTTCCCAAATGCCTTGTCGAACACGACCACTGGCGAACCTTAATATACCATGTCCATGCTTTTTATCATCTCTGAACGTTCCTTCATATTGAAGGTTTTGCGGCCATGTATATTTTCCACTTCCACTCTTTTTATCATTGGCCCAATCGCCCTCATATTTCTCTCCATTGACGAAATAGTAGATACCATAACCATGCCGCTTACCATTTCTTTCATTTCCTTCATATCGATTTCCATTGGGAAAGTTGCGAATTCCCATTCCATTTGTTTGATCATCAGCCCATTCGCCCTCATATTTCTCACCATTGACATAATCGTAGGTACCACGTCCATGTCTCTTACCCCCTCTGAGATTTCCTTTATATCGACTACCATCGGGATAGATACATTCTAAAATCAGATGTTCCATATCGTGTTTAGTTATGTTACAAAAAGTCTATGGCTATCATCCAACGAGCTTTTGCTTTTCTTAAATCTACAGTATCATTGAAATTTGTAACCATATCTCGGCATTAACTATTTAACACTTCTGCTCAGAATACTCTGAGTCACAACTTTTTTCCAACCAGAGTTAGGATCATGCAAGATACTATAGTAATTTTATTGCATCATCAATAACAAAAAAGTATAGCTAAATATCGATTGGAGTGAGTTTAAATGAAGAACGACCGAGCAAAACTTTCAAAAGTAGTACACGGTTCGAAAACAAGTTTCCTATGCTTGTTTTATTTTAGTTTTAATGAGTCAATATTTCTTAATGTTGGCCTATATGCTTAAAAAAACTACATTGAAATCTAATGCACTCTTCAAAAGACTACTTGACAATAGTGTCGTGAAAGTTATGAGAATGACTAGTGTGGCTTGTTTATGCTTTAGATTAGTTCTTTTAAAGTATAAAAAAGGACTAATATTACTTTACAAGTAATCAAAAGCATAAGCAAAAGTAGTCATTTTCAATCTTGCACAGCAATTGCCTCTACTGGATTTTTAGGTATTGATGCTTCAGCATACAAACATTCTATTTTTTGATCATTCTAAGTAGTACATTGAAATTGAATTTATGCTGGCTAAGAGTTGAAAAATGACGAGTTCGCAAGAAACATTAACGGACAAATTCAAAAATGTATTTCTAAAAAATTGATCAAAACATTTTTTTTTTGATACTTCTATTAAGAATTAAATGATGAATTTTTTGCAAAAAGGTTTTGTTGTTCACGATATATTTATTGAAATAATGCGAACAATAGCTTTGGAGATCTAAGTACTCTATGCATCTAGAATAGCGACTGACAGTCAGTAGCTTTTTTTGCGGTAATTTACTAAGTAGCTCCTTGCAAGAAAAAATATCGTTACAATTTATCATCGGAAACCATTGTTAGAATACGTCGAAAGTCGTTTTTGTTTGATGACCGATACAATTAATCGACTCTGTTGATCAAAACATTCAGAAACTTATAAGATATCAATCATAAAGTCAATTAGCTCTCCTCGATCTATTCACACTTCTCTAGTGATGACTTTCGTACTAACACAATTCTATTTGGTTATTTTGATGTTTTTTTTTTAAATAGTGGCAATCGACTAAAACAGGTTTATGTTGATTTGTGTATATTGACTGATAGTTCTTAACTCCAAGCTACAGTTAAGTATACCTCATGTTCCAAAAAAATGCAAATATATTGTCGTATGCTGTTAGGGGACTGCATAAATATCTTTTTTAAACGTCCTGAAGTAGGTTTTTTTCATGATAAAAAGATGCAATAAATTATTTAATAAAGTAGACTGATCAGTAAACTAGATCATCACAGTCTTCTAAATTTGGGTGTTTTTGATTTAGAAGGTTTTATAGAAACTATGCAAATAAATAAGCTGATATTCTCAAGTGTTTTAGCACTTACCTACAGTTACTGGCTGCAATAAAGGAACAGATGTCTTGATTTCTTTAAGTTGGACGACATGAAGTCCACCGCCTTGCTCAAGACATCCGTGAACTTTAAACTGTCTAGCAGGTAGAAGAAGCACTTCGTTTTCTGTCTTGAAATAGGAATGGTTACGAATATCTATGCCTGAATCAGTTTCTATAGTGAACATTGTTCTACTTCCAGTTTTACCAAGAAATAGTTCTGATTGTAAAACATTGATCGATGCAGTGCACGATGTAAAGCCCCACCATACGATTGTATCGCGCATAGAATATTGGTGACTGAAATCTAATTTTATTCCTCGATAGATAGTTCGACTAGCAGTCAACGGAAGTTGAGAGAGTGCAGTAAGCAGCAACTTCAAATAAGAAAACCACGGTTTTATTTGTTGCCTGCTTACTGATCGTAGTGTGGCATTCAGGGCGTGATAAAGACATTGTTCGAGTGGCTCCCAACTCATAGTGTAGAGCACGATTGCAGCTGACTCATTTTGTGTCAAACCATCGGCAGGTTGTTTACATGTCTCCTTTGCTGAATAGACGTAACTTTTAACAGCTGGTAAAAGAGAAACGAGTGGTTCGACGGCTTCTTCAAGTGATACCAAAGGCATTTCATCGTAACCCCATATGGGTGAAAGAAATTGTCGGGGTTCTTCAGAAAAATCAGTGATGCGTTGTACGATTGCGTCTGTATCTTTAGTCATGTTGAATTGTGGCGTTTTTAAGGGCTTTTGGACAATAATATTTCTTTAAAAAAGTTTTAAAATAAATATTCACTAATATTCATTTAAAAATAAACGAAGCTTGGCTGTTTTTCGAATAATTCTCTAACGGCAAGAATTATCTGTTTTTGCTTTTTACCATATGTATGAGGCGAGCATTCTGTGTCTTTCTATAGAGTGGTGAATATAATCGACCTTCTACACTCGATAAATTCCAACTGGATAATAATTATTCCAATGAAACGATCATTCTTATTTGATTTTGATCTTTTTAAATGACTTTAAAAAGTGTGCTCTCAGGGATGGGTGAGTCAAGCGTTTTTTCAAGTCGAGTTGAGTCAAAGTTTGTTGGGTTATTGTTCGCGTCTGTTTATTTTTCTAGGAAGATCCACCACAAATTTTCTTTTCATTATATCCAATTTCAAGTTCTTTGGCACAAAAACTGAAATAAGAAAAGCCATATGCAAAATGAAAACAAAACTGGATTAATCAGAACAGCAATAACAGTCAGAACAACTGCACAGTAAGAATCTATCATTTTGGGTGAATCTGTGGGGTTTCCACTACTTTTATGGAAAAATGTTTTTTTTTTCGGTTTTGATATTGTATTAGGTTGGAACATGAGGTCTGAGAATTTTATTTTTGTTTTTTAGACAAATTTGAGGCTTTATATCTCTTCCTAGTCACGAGATATAAAGCCTCAAGTTTGTATAAAAAAACAAAAAACTCTCAGAACTTATGTTCCAACCCAATAGTTAGACGTCACATCGACGAAAACGGTTAGAGATAATAGTAAAAACGTTTTTTGATTCTAAGCATTTCGATAAACAAATTTGCCGAAAAGCTGCTGTTTTGTCGGAAATAGATTCAGAACACTGAGCAATGAAAAACAAAAACTTTCAAAAACACGATTTTTCGCGAAATTTTGATAAATTGTTGTTTACTTTCGTTCACTACTAATGATATTTTGAATCTATTTCCTACAAAATAACAGCTTTTCGGCAAACTTTTATCAAAATGCTTAGAATTAAAAGCTCTACAAACGTTGAAAATTTCATCATTTTGCAACATAGTTGAGACTCTCAACGTATCTAATTACAAATACATTGAGTTGTTCCTAAAAAATGATCTGGATCTCCAAACTTTATATATCAAAAACGTTTTTACTATTATCTCTAACCGTTTTCGACGATGTTACGTCTAACTACAATATCAACATCGAAAAAAAGCTTTTTCCACAAAAGTGATAGAAACCTCACGGATTTACTCTTTTTTTATAAACATATTCAACAGTGTGTTTAGTAGGGATGGCACTGAAAATTTAAAAGTACACTGATAATGTAGTTAAAATTAAAGTAAAGTACTTTAAGCTTTAAAATTAAATTTAAAGTAAGAATCTCTTGAAACTTTCACTTTAAAAAAATTTAAGTTAAAGTCAAATTTTTCACAAAAAATTTTTAGGAAAAGGAGTATTTCTTTCATTAAAAAAATTATTTTTTTGTAAAGAAAAACATTTTGTCACAAAGGAATCACTTTGTTCACATAAATTTAGTTTTTCATAAAAGAAAATTTTCTTACAAAAAAAACGTATTTTTGTGAAAAAGTCTATTTTAACTTTAACTCTTAATAAAGTTAAAGTGCCACTCCTAACGCTTAGACTGCCACTGTTAACATATGAATACACAGGTCGAAAAAGCTCTAGAAAAATCCTTGGATTGGTACGGGTTCAATTAGCAAGTAAGTTGTGATTAAGTGAGAATCTAATCTTATGTGTTCTAAGTTTTTATGCCAGCAAACCAAAGTTTTTTAAAATTATTGACTCGAATGACTCGAGTCAAACAGTCGAGTCAATGTTCCCAAAATTTTCGAGTACGAGTCATGACTCGGACTCGCCCATCCCTGTCTGCTCCTTTGATTCACCCTTTGGTTCTGACGGTAGTTAGCGCACCAAATCTTAGTTAATCTATTATTGACTTTATGTTTAATATTCGATTTATTTGTTGTGTTAGTGATTTTCGATTTTAGTAAAAAAACATTTTTAAGAGTGTAATTCATGATAAAATGCTTATCACTAGTGAGATATAGTTTTTTTTTGTCTTTCAAAGGTAAGAGCAATGTACAACATCGAACAAATATAATTAACGTGTTAGATATCTAATTCGTAATTAAATAATATCAAAGTGTTATGTTAATACGAGTTAGTATCTAGAGTCATGCCTAGTACGTAATTTCACTTTTAATGTTTCCAATATTACTAGTTAATTTGTTCTTAAATATGGTGTGTTTTTAAATTTATAATATTTGTATCGATTGAACAAGTAGAATAAACTAATAGTCGCTTTGACGAGCACGTTTTACTTTAATTTGTCGCTATAACGACAATACTGCAATGACACTGATCAGTATCAAAGCACTTATTATAAAAAAAATGATTCATAATATTCCATCAGAATTCAGATTTATATATACATACATGTCTAAAATTATTTGTTAAGCTTCCATAATATACTACAGTTAGAAATTTGGAAGGAATATAAAATTTTAAAGAGAACCTTTTGTGAAAGCTGTCAATATTTAGAGCAAACAATATAATGTAATGATGAATACTGAGCAACTGTATCACTAACAAAAGAATGCAACTAAAAAACTTACACACACATAACTAAATAATAATATTTCTCTTATTGAATAATAATGCATCAACAATTAACAAATATCTCAGAAGTAAAAAGGATGAAAATGATCAAGCAAGAGAGAAACAGAGAA